CTTCTTCTTCTTCTTCTTCTTCTTCTTCTTCTTCTTCTTCTTCTTCTTCTTCTCAACACGTAATCTAAATACGATATCTGCTGAAAGCAAAAAAATGTCCACAACGACAACAAGAACTCGTATATTTAGTTGAGCATTGTTTCACAACAGTGTCGAGGTGATATGATGCAATATAAAGTACCGTACATATTTATGGTAACACAGACATCTTGTTAACGGTATCGTTCTGTATAGATAATACTTTTTCACATAAAGAGATAATACATTTCCACATAATAAGTGACCATCCTAATTTCAGTTGCATGCTAATTACAGACATCTTGCTGACGACATTGATCTGCAACGATATGTACAAATGAAACGAAACATTTTTCTTATTATATGTTATAGACATGGCCCATTGCTATGGCATGCCATACAATTCTACTGCAGGGTATAAACACTGGACAACTGACTCCGACATACGATATCATTATTATTAGCCACAGCGTAAAATCCTTTTCGGTGACGTCAAGCCCACCCCCCCCCCCCTTTCCGCATTTACAAACTCACATAATTTTCCTTCCTGTGTTTGGATACCCAATACATTTTTTAAAAGTTCAGAGTTTCTTTCCCATTCGATTGCGTGACAAATTTGAAAGTTCCAAATTTATATTTGAGTTTTACAGTTCATGGGAAGTAAACTCAGAACTTTTTCAACCCAGATTTGTCGCTCGTTTTTGAGTCAGAAGTGCGAAAAGAACCCTTACTTACATAAAAATCAATTGATAACGAGGACGTGATGCTTTTAAAATAACACTACTACTAACCTGGACATAATATATAGATTATGATGTAACCAAAAAGTTCTCGCGATCGTTATTTATCTAAATAGCTGGGTACCCGTTTGATGAACGGACTAAAAAATCGATCTTCAAGTCATTGTGGATCAGTGCACACTGTTTGTGAACGGAATCCTCACTTGAAGACGGACTTTCCCAAGATTATACCTAAACGAAACTAATGAAAAACTGAAAATTAAACTACAGTGATTTCAGACACCTTAATATAACTGTGCACCCTTTAGATGATTATGAACCGCCGTTATTTTTTTTTCTAAATTGGAAAGTCAAAGTGGTTCGGAAGTTTTAGGCGACCAAAGTGATGAACTTTCACAAATATTATGATATAGAATGTACTGCATGCACAACACTTCACAAGCTAAAAGACGCCGAGAACTACTTTTCGTGTGCTTCTTGTCTCCCTTAGATTTGCTCAAGCTTGGCGGAGCGATACGAAGATGATTCCGAGCTGACTGCGTCATATCCGCCCTGGTCACGTGATCAGTACGTTGTAGACATGCGTGGTGGCGAATCGTTCTCACGTCGGGTGGTGGAGAAATTTTGGCTGATGCTAATCCTGGTTTTGTGCCAGTTCAAGGGTAGTAAATGTGAATGTATATCACGAGAGAGCAAGAATTTGTAAATGAGCATTATACAGGGATGTTATTGAATGCAGTGGAAGCATTCAACAAAACAAACAACAACAACAACAGCAAACTATGCATTATTTTTTCATCGTTTCTTCTCCCCCCCCCCCTCCTCTGCCTCTCCCTTCTCCTTAATTAATGGATCGCAAGAGGGGTATACACTTACACGTCTTCTTCTTCTTCTTCTTCTTCTTCTTCTTCTTCTGATGATGATGATGATGATGATGATGATGATGATGATGATGATGATGATGATGATGATGATTCATTAATACGAACTATATAAATAATTATCACTGTTCATTTTAAACCATTTAGACCATAATTATAATTATTGTCATCACCATCTAAGGAACTGCAACAAATTACAAGTACTTACTGATAGGTATTTCCGTAGAGTTAATGGTCTCCGTCTCCTCCTCCAGGGGTTCGATGATGTCATAGGTGCCGAACTCATAGACCACGGACAGGGTCTGGGGAACAAGGGAGGTAACTTTCTGAAGTTGCGCGTTCTAGTTACTCAAGAACGTTTGAAGACACGATGCTTTTTTGAATATTTTTTAAATTCATTTTTTAAAAGAGTCATTTAAAGATCTTCATTGATCATACTGTTCTTACAAATTATTCAATTCATGTAGCCTCTATCTGAATTTTAGAAAAACCCAAAACAACAACAACATCACCAACACCACCACCACCACCACCACCACCACCGACAACAACAAAAACAGGCAACAATAATAATATGCTTCTATGAAATATGTCAATTCGAGTTTCTGGTGTGTGTATGATCGTTCGAGTGTGGTACAGCATGGCTTTTGGTCTTCTGTCAGACATCTGTGTCCACTACACCTGACAGACAGATACATAAACAGACAGACAGACAGACAGACAGACAGACAGACAGACAGACAGACAGACAGACAGACAGATAAATAAAAAGACAGACAGATAAATAAAAAGACAGACAGACAGACAGACAGACAGACAGACAGACAGACAGACAGACAGACAGACAGACAAACAAACAAAATACCCTTGACCCCCTCCAATTCAACCTGCTCTCTCCACCTCAACTCACCCCTGCCACGCCCCCACACAAACATCACCAGCCTCCCAACAACCCGTATACCTCCTCTGTGGCCTCTAGCTCCATCTGTCTCTCCGTGTCCTCCTCCCCTCCCTCTGACTCCGCCTCAAAGGTGGTCTCTGGCACCACAATCTCCTCACACAGGGCCGCGGGACTCTCTGACGATGCCTGGAACCTCACTGTCCGGTTACCTGGCAACGGACGGATGGTCGTGGAAGTTTTGAATAAAGCAACAAAACAACAACAGCTGCAACAACAACATCGTCACCACCACCAACAACAACAACAATAACAACAACAACAAACACAACAACAATCTCTTCACACGGAGCTGCGGGACTCTCTGAGGCCTGGAATCTCACTGTCCGGTTACCTGGCAACGGAACCACGGTCATGGGATTTTAAAATAAAATAACAACAACAACACCACCAACAACAATCTCATCACACAGGGCCACGGGACTCTCAGACGATGCCTGGAACCTCACTGTCCGGTTACCTGGCAACGGACCAACACTATTGGCTTCGTAAAAGTAAAACAAACAA